GTCTCGTCATCTTTACTCTCGCATTGTTCTTAGTTGCAAATGGGCCAGCCCTTCTTCGAACCGGCTTAAAGAAAGAGGACAGATAAAGGTAGTGGGCGAGAGAGGAAAGAGAAAGAAAGAGAGAGAGAGAGAGAGAGATTGAAGAGAAGACAAAGAGAAATAGAGAGAGATGCACGAAAGGAGAGAAACAGAATGGAGGAGTGGAAGAAAGAGAGTGAAGAGAATATGTCGAAGAGAAGAGGGAGTTAGAAGGGAAAACGAGTCTGCGCCATGCCACAAATGTAATCGCAGTTGTGGTCGACGAAAGATTCATAATCAAGATCGCGACGCGAGATCGAACTCGCAAGAATTCCCAAACTCGCTTGAATCAACAAAGCCGCCCTTCGGAATGTCATGTGTGACGTTTTAACTACGCGTTTCTCAATAATCAAATAATCGGAATATCACGTGTTACTCATATATATATTTTGAAGCACTCGGTCACACGCAGCCATGTTTTAATATAGTGTATTTTCGAACATTACGTTTTACTGTATTTTAGAATATCGTATTCTTGGGGGGGGGGGGAGAAAAGAGATATCTATTTTCAATGCCAAAAATTTCGAAAATTATACTCCAACCTCTGAATAATATTTTGGAGCATTTTAGGTTTATAATTATAAATACCATGATTTAAAATATCTTCAATAATGCTATTCTTTTCTTAATTTTAATATTTACAGACTCAAAATATTGAAATATCATGGAATTATTGATCAACTAGAACTACCGCAATCGCAAATCGTGATTGCAAATCGCAAAAGATGATAAACGACTTTTCGAGCGAATCCAATAACATATCTGTTTTTAAATGACTTATATCATCGACGATCATGTGAAAATTTCGCATGAGGTAGATCGAAAGGTGAACGACTGAAAAAAAGCGTGACAGAGCAGCGAACGTGAACCGGACCTATCGTGCGCGCGCTGCCTAACATCCGAAATAAATAATGTCCATCAGGAGCGGCTGAGTGCCAGAACCAGTCGAGACGTGTGACATTCCAGAAAATTATTGATGCAAGCTTCTGAACCAACTATGTAATATTTATACGCAAAAATATTTCGAGCAGATGGATTGTATTTATTTATCAAATGTGTACTGATACGTCATATGCAGATTTAAATTAAAATTTAAATATGCAATATAATAATAACTATTTCAGTATTATTGAAAATTAAAAATAACAATATTACAATTTCGACAATCGCTCTATTTATGACTCTATTTATGACTTATCATTTTGATTATAAATCCAAAAATAACAATAAAATGTGAACGCTAACTCGAGAAGTTCCAAAATAATGCTTAAAAGTTAAAATATCATTTTCAATTATTTAAATTACCGATTTCGATTGGTTTATATCGCAGAAAAATAAATATTTACAAAACAAAAATTGAAAAAATAAAATTCATATTTTTGTGTTTATTTCCGAACACGACATCTCTCTACTATTGATAAGTCGGTTATATACAATTTATATAAACGAATTACCAACATGTGTTACGACACATGACAAAAAATATTTATAAGCACGTGCTTCGAATGAACATAAAGTACACACTTTATAATGAAAACAAAAGATCTTTCATGTTAAACATGGAGTATTCCAATTTTACGTTAAAGTAAACATATATTTCCTTTCTTTTACGAAAATCATTTGTAATATTTTTATTTTTAAACAATCTAATATTTACTTCTCATGTCCTGTTTAATCCTTTGATTAAGATCAAATTCTTATCTCACAGATTACTGATAAGACACGTACCTATATATGGACTCCAGTTTTTCGATAGTTTCTGACGATATAAATTAAACACAATTTATATGTATGTATTTGTACATTTGATAAAAGCCATCATCGCGTAAATATATACAATTAACTTTGAACGATTTTTAATATCTTATAACATTTTGTAACTTCTCAAAATCAAATAAGCATTCGATTAGCTCCATAATTCAACTTGAAAATTCAAGATACAAAATCAAGCTAACCTAACCTACATGCCTCTTATTGGTCGATACTCTCGATATTGTCGGATACCCTCAAACGAAACTACCAAAGTATTCGCGAATTCCGTTCGACTTTTATCATAACCCCGCAGAGAGGTCCTTCGTATAGCGAGAACGAAAGGCTAGCCCGCGGGTAGCGACAAGAGGTCCAGGCATCCGAGCGCTGCGCGAGATGAAAGCGCGCGCGCTTCGGAGCACGGAGTCTGCGCGAGGCGAAAGAACTCACCTTTCGGGTGACACGCGCACTTCCACCGCCGACGCGAACAACGGGGACGCGTGCCGGAAAACCGCGTGGCCGGAAAGTACGGTGTGAGATGCAGGAACACGAGCACAATGCGCGGCGAGACGAAAGGGGACGTACCGACGCGGCGCGGATGTACGCGTACGTTTACATGCGACGCGGCAACAACGTGCCTTACCTCGAGAGCGGCCGTCGCGACACTGAACGTGCCGCAGACACCTGTCGCCGTCGGCCGACAGTGCCGCCGCCGCGCGGTCGAACCCCTCTCTCGTTCACGTGGTGCGCACCCCGCGAACCGATGCTAGTGTTCATAATACAGCATAATCCTCACAAAATCATACATCTATGATTTTTCCGTAATTTATCGCGTTAATCGGTGGAATTATTAAAGATACATCTGAGATAAATAATTCTTTTATGCTTGACTGCTCGACAGGCGTGGTTTTCGAAAAGCTATTTTGGATTCATACATTGTAGGAAAAAAATGTTTAATAACTTTATTTGTCTTTTATTATCTTGCCTCTTCTTTAACGCAGAATATGTATTAAAAATTTTTAATTCTTTTAGTAGTAACGTAAAGATTTTTATTTTTCCGATTCCCTTACGTTTTTTTTTTTATTTTAAAAAAGGGCCTTCTGTTTTACACAGCGATTGTATATAGAAAACACAATGTTTAGTAATTTTATTTGCTTTTATTATCTTGTCTTTTTCTTAACATAAGATATATGTACACACATTTTAAATCTTTATTTTAATTTTTATTAGCATTATAAAAAATTTTTATTATCTTAATGAACTTTATTTTATAAAAGAATTATTCTTTAGAGATGCCTTTCTCTCAAACTATAAATATTAAGTAATTTCTATTTCTCGAAAATTAAAGCTTTTTATTACACAAAGTCTAAGAATTTCAGATATATTAAAACCAAGACATACATAAAAGTAATTTAATTAATATTTACTTATTATGTATTATAAATATGTATATTTAAAAAATCCTAAATTAGAGCTTTTAATTAATTAGATTTTTGGGACTGGAAGCTTTAAATAAATATAATATTTAATTATTATATTATTAAATGAAACAAAATTTTTTGAATATAAATTAATTTATGTTCAGAACATATTAAGATAAATTATTTTGTTAATAATCACTAAACTGAAAAAAGAACTATTTGAAATATTGTCAAGATAATAATCTATTGAGAACAAGATAAATTGATCTAATAATTGTGTGATGAAAAATTAATCAGCCAATACAACGTGAAAAATATGGGAATGTAAGCGCGACTGTATCGTCGGCAATGGGCTCCCATAGGGATCTCGAACAGTATAAAAGAGAATGCTGATTGTGAGCCCATAGAAATATGATGGAGGAGTTCATTGTGCGGGAGGGTGCTAATGCTATCGTGCCACTCACAACAGTAGTTCGCACAAAGCGTAAAAATAAATAACTTCAGCGTAATTTTGAGCGAAATGATTAATTATAATTGATTCGTAATTAATTACGAATACTTCAGTATCTTATTAAGGATACTTAATTAATAAGCAATTGCAAAATGCTTTAAAAAATCAGTTGAAAAATTTATAGTCTCGATAAAAAAAAAATCTTTAATAAATTTCGTGTATGTATGTATACGTGTGCACACATGGACTGCATAGTAAATAAAATTCCAAATAGCGTAGACAAATTTTGAACCAAATTTTAATAAGCTAAGAAAAATATATGTATATATTTTAATTTAAAACTGCAGGAGTAAATAAAAATTGCGACAATATCATAGTGAATAATTGTTAACTGAGACACAATATACGCAGGATGGTTTAAGCACTCAAATAAGCACTCAAGTAAGGTTCCTTTGTTGAAACTGCTTCATGCACAATACGAAAAATTGCAGGAGGGTAGCAAGAAGCTCTTCGTGCATCCCTCACGAGAAACAATACTGTCGCGCGCATTTCTACTTCTCTTGATCTCGTCTGTCCCCTTTGTTCAGAGACTTTTTCGATGTAGTCGTACCGAGCTATGCCGTTTGTTGTTTGTATATTGCACACCAAAATAAAAGTATTGAAATAGTTAAGAAAAATGCATAATTTAAAAAGGGAAATATAAAGAGTGTTGTCGCGTATTCTCCTTTTTCTGCCAGCGAAATCGTCAGTAAATTTTTTGTAGCTATCCTCAAGAGAATATTTATGATTTAAATAATAATAAACATTACATTTACTGACAATTCTTTCATAAAAATTTTAATTGTATGTTTTCCTTGTAGTTTAGTTTTTAAAAGACTTGAAAATGCCAACATTATAAACGTCAAATAAAAGGATTAATATAAAATTTTAAAAATTATAAAGAGACAAAACAATAACATCAAATAAAAAAATATATTAGAGTCCGCGAAATATTACTTTATTTTTAATTTTTATCGCTTATATTACATATTTAACATTATATAGTACATTAGTAACTTACAACAAATTTTCGGTAAATTTGCTTTTTTAATTTGACATTTCGTTTATACTTTTAAATTTTATCATTATATTTATTCTTATATTTGTTGTTTACGTTTCTTGCTCATACATGTATTATATTACCAAAAATTATATCGCATATATTAAAAATTAATAAATATCACAACATATGATAGAAACTTGCAATATAAAAAATTCTACTCATACATTAACATGCAATAAAAATACATAATAAAACTCACCGGAATGTAGCCATCGGGTTGAATTCTCTTATCATCTCTGAAAATAGAAAAACATTAAATGCATTAATCTATGTAGCTATTAAATTATATTTATAATAGATATAAGTAGAAAGTATCTTAAAAAAGTTGACAATTTCTCACGAGCAAATTATTAAAAAAATGCTTTTAAACAAATCTTAACTTTAAAGACAAATATTTTGGCAATAGTGTGTCATAGAAAAAAAATTTAGTATTTTATAGGGCTATTTTTATTTGCTCTGCATATTCATGAGAGATTGTTTTTTATGTTTTCCATCAGTCAGTACATACAGTCTAGTTTCCACCGAAGCATTAATTCGCACTCAATACGATGTAGAATCAAATTCAAGTCGATGGAAACACTTGACGTTGCTCATTTTACTTCCACTTCGATCCACAAGCTTTACCGGAGTGACAACGAATTGATGTAAAATTTAATCGGTGGAAACTGTTGAAATAGGTTTAAAATAGATATTGCCAACTTCTACTTGACGGAGATTACGTTTGTTTATATTCATGTTGTAAAACAAAAGTTAAATTGGCTTTACTGAAACATCCATTTTCGTCACTTTTACTCTACTTCCAATGGAAACAGCATACTAAATTTTGATCTGCACCGAAGTGAAACTGAGTTAAGAGTTCGATGGAAACTAAATTTCTCTATTAAACTAATATTCAATTATTTTGGCGAAACATACCGATTTCTTCGTTGAATTACTGGTGTTTTTGGCGTGCTATCGTGAATAATCACCTGGGTTGCAGCTATCTCTTCACATTCCGAACTGTTTTCAGAAAAGTCTGCAATAATAAATACATAGTATTTATATTAACATATTCTAATATACATATTAACATATTCTAACATACATCTTTCTACATCCAAAATTTTATATCGTTTAACTTATCACATAACAAACTCAGAAATTTAAAAAAACATTAGTAAATTTTATTAATAAAATTTTAACTTTACTCTCTCTATGCATATAGAAATGTATTGAAGAAATACAACTAAAGTATTATCTTAAACGAATCTTTCCAAACTGCTTTGCGTATATTTTTCATAGAGATCTTAATTTTCTGGAGATATCGTGATTTCCAAAATTTATCGATTTTATTTTCTATCCAACAGTTCTAAAAGAGAAAATATTACATTACAAATTTAATCGGATTCACTTTGACGAATTCTATACGATACATCGGATAATCCGACTGACACTATGTAAACTGGGTACGATAGCATCGATCGCTAAGTGACGCTAAATTCATTCCCGCCTCACCCTCTTTGACGCGTTCCTGTTTACGAACACGGGAGAGAACAGGACTGTGGCACTGGATAGCTGTATCACCGATCACGTCATCGATGTCAGTATGATCGCCAATAAATAATGGTAACGTAGAGGGTCGTTTTCGCGGTGGCAATCTTCGACGTGTCGGTTGCACATTGTCATAAGGAGATTTTCGTCCCCCATAATTGTCCGGCGGATCAGGTGGATTCTCGATCTGCAACAGAAACAACGAATTCAAGCACTCTGTGATCATCTTTTTGCCTTTAGTAAAATAAATTTTACTGTTAATCGTATTTCATTTTTGGAAAATATGGCTGTTAATATAATGTACAACGTTATCGATAACATTTTCAAATTATTTTGAACGAGTAATAATAAATAGAGAAATAGGAAAAGAGAATAAAAGAATTAGTATTAATGATTAAGATGCAAGATTTATAGCTCAATAATTAATGCTATTTCCATTGTGTGATTGATTACCCATGTAATATTTGTCAATTAATTTATTTTCAGATATTCTGAATTTTATTATTCAATTGTTCCATATATTTTAAAAAATTTAATACTTTGAATAAATTGATTATGAGAAAATAATCCAAAAAAGTGTTAATATTTTTTATAATAATATACATTGTACGTAATGCCGTATTTTATCAATAGTTTAAATAAATTTCATAATCTTATCTTCCTTTTATTCAAATTATTCTATCTCTTACAATTAGAGATTCATCAGATTGTATTAGACCTCAGCAGGGCGTATAAGACCAGAGAGTTATGAACGTGACATAACATGATATTCAATTCAATCAACGATGATAATCAATCTTACCCCTTCTGGACTTGCACGATCTCCCAACGGCTCGGATGGCGGTGGCGGAAATTCGATAGGAAATCTGGAGAGGCTTCTCTTGACACACGTCTGAGATTCAGGGTTAATGCCGATATCGATCTTCTCGTATGACTCAGAGGAGTCGGAAGTGCTGTTGGGAATTTCCACGGGAATCCTGACAATCCCGTCAGGAACGTTGGAGGTGCTGTCCATCCACCATGCCTTCTCCCCAGATTCGATATGTCGGATTTTCTTAAGCGGCTTGGAAGAGTAAAGGCTCTCATTATCGACAGGTTTGTCAGTACTTTGACTATCGGCAGACGCCACTGGGATGACCTCGATGCCCTCTGGAACGTTCTCAGGATCGTCGCTCATCCACCACGCTCGTTCGCCAGATTGCTGATGCCTGATGCGATTTCGTCGATCAGCTGATCGAAAACTACCTCGACTGGACCCCCGTCTCGAAATAGAAGACACCGGCGAGGGTGATTTTTTCGTTTCCTCCGTTACAATCTCGTCCAACCACCAGGCATGTTCTTCTGATCCTTGTCGCCAAATTTTGAGTTTGTACTTTCCTGGCAATACAAGGCAAGAAATATAATAATAAATGCAAGGATTAAATAGTACTTTCAAATTAGTAAAAATAATAATAATAAAAGTACTAAAAATTATAAAATGATCTTTAAAAAACTGCTTGAATAATTAAACTAACTGCTTGATAATTAAATCTTAAATTTGCCGCTAATCATGTTTATATGTATTTAAATATATATAAATGTTACAATAATTTATATTTTAAATTAAGATAATTATAATTTATATTTCAAAATAATAATTTGTATTTTTATTGTTACGCTTCACAAAATGTGAATAAAAATAAAAGCTGAGCACATGGCATTATATATAATGTTTAAATGTATTATATAAAAATATATAATATCTTGCAATACATATTGTATGTATAATTAACTTACCGTCATCCGGCAAGGCCGCGCTAACAGTTGTGTCCTGACTGATATCATTATTCCATGGACTAGCCCTATGAACTCCCTCGGGAACGTTCTCGGAATTTGGATCCAACCACCATGGTTTTTCGCCAGAAGACTGATGTTGAATCCTCACATTATTTCCTTTTATTCCGTCGCTCTTCTGAGAATTAGTGAAGCTAGGATCTTTCAATAGATTTTGACTGGCTGATCTCGAAGATGACAGCTGCTCTGATTTGTTTTTAGCTTCGTGATTTTCCTCAAAGGAATCAATCCATCCGTCTGATTTATTTGTATCATCGGAATCTTGATTTTTGTTCTTAAAAAAATTTGTCACTGGGGCTAACGCTCTCATTAGGAAGGACTTGGCCTCTTCCGTCTTCGCGGAACGATCACTCTTAGATCTTGGACTAGAAGGTGGCCTGGGTGGTTTCTCCGCCATCATTGACATGTCATCAGCTGAGGACGCCAGCACACTTGTTCTCGACGATCCCGCACTGATTTTACCTCTCACCTCACGCGCAGGCGATTCTTCCATCGTTCTTTTCCTTCTCCGTCTCGAATCCGTCTTGTCCGTACGATTGTCATCATCCTCGCTGCTGGAGGAATTCGCAGAGGTCGACTGACTACTATTGCTGGAACTAAATGTCCCAGATGGCCTCTTTTTCGTTCCGCAAGGTGACTTTGAGCCGCTTTTCGATTCTTCCCATTTCGTCGAGCCATTCGAGCCATTTCTCCCAAGTACTGGCTTCGATTCTCCCGACGGAATCCTGAACCTCGATCGACCGGACTTCGTTGAGATCAAGGATCCCGAAGAGGCTGCCTGGGGAACGTGGTCCGAGGTCATTTCGGAATCTTGAGAGCTAACGGAGATGTTTCTCTGACTTTTCTTTATTCTCGCGTACTTGGAGCACGACAGGTCGCCGTTCTCCATGTTCAAGGTCGACTTGCGGAAGTCCTTGTTCACGTACTTCGCTGCCACGGTGCACTTCGGCGTGGCGGCGGTCGTAGTATCATTCTTCGGCACAGGTGGTTTGCCGCGCGCGTCCGGCGAACCGCCTTGTCGTAGGTTCACTGACGGCAGGATCGAACCGGTGGATGATTTTCCGGACGATGGCGGCGTTGCCGTTTTTATTTTTATACCCTGACTCGTCACCGAACTAGCTGACGATGATTTCGATCTGCCAATTGGCATGCTTACAGAAGATCCGTCTGACGAGGCTGTTCGCGTCATTTGACGGGGCATGTTCTTCGTCGATACGTTCCGAGTTTGTGAAGTCGATGCCAAACGACTTTGCGAAGAACCGCTTTTAGTGAAAAATATTAATTAAAATCAATTTTAATCTTTTATATTGAAATTGCGCGTTTTGTCTCTGCTATAAATTTACAATTAATTTTACATCTTTTTAAAGATCATAGGTTTTTTTTTCTATCTTTTAAATATAATAATGATTACGTAACTCAGTTCTTTTACAGTTTAATATAATTTATACATAATTATTTTCTAAATTTTTGCATATCTTATAAATTATTTTTGCAAGACATACAATCTGTTAAATATTAAAAATTAGCTTAAAACTTATCTTACAAGTTTGACATATAAGATAATGTAATTTCTTTATTCTCTATATTATAATAAAATACAATACAATTGATTTTATTATATTTTTAACAAATTATAATTAATATAAAAAACTATATTTGTTCTTTATGTATAATCTAATAATTATTTTAGTAAAAAATATTTTACGTACCTCGATGTCGAATCTTTTCTTTGTGAAGCATCGCGTTTTTGGGAAATAACTTCTTCATTTTGCTCTTGACAATGCCCTTCGACAATTCGAAGAGACTCTTCGATTCTGGAAGAGGAGCTGGCATCAGATTTGGGAGTGGATCCTCTTCTTTCATTGTAAGCGTCGAGTTTTGATGTCATTTCAGTCTTTGAAGAACATTTAGAAATCTTTACTTCATTCTTCGGCGAAGTGCATTCCAATCGTGAAATGGGTTTTTTGTATTCGTTACATCTCGATGCATTCTGTGTATCCTGCGCCATTGAATCTTTTCTGCGGTAAAATGCGAGATTCTGATTGGAATTTCTTAAATTGTTGGAGCTTTCGTTCGTTTCAGTCTTTTGTGCACCACAGCAACACCGTTCGTTAATTCTGTCTTCTTTATTTATATTGTGAGTATTTTGATCATTCAATGATGTCTTTAAGTCATTAGACACTGTTAAAGTCTCATTATTTGTTGTGCAATTTAAATCACCGAGACGTTTCTCATTTTGACTTTTGTCAGAATTATGAATTTCTTGACTGGAACTCGACGGTTCTTTGGCAGAGGATTCATTTCTCGTAGTTGCCGGTGTTTCATTCGTTCTTGCATACGCAAAGTTGTTAAGTCTACCACTAGAGGAGCTCGAATTAAATCCCCTGGACGAATAAATGGATGGACTACCAGTTAATGATGTACCCGAGTATTTATCCAGGTACGTCGACCAGGGTACACCGGATATTTTATTGTTGCTGCTGTACCTCGAGAATCTTGACGTTTCGTCCGTTTGATCACACTGTATTTCTTCATCAGCAGTATCCGGCAGTTTTCGAAGTTTAATCACTTCTTTCTGATGAACAACATTAATCTCCGCTCGTCTGTTTCTGACATAGGACGAGGAAGCTGGTGGTGTCGGTGAAGTACCTCTTGTCACTACCGTTAACGTCACAAATTCCTTATCAGGAAGTTTATTGTTGGTCTCATTCTCTTCTATTCGATTTGCAGTCGTTGATAATTCCTGGTGATCATCTTTGTTAGACTTTGCAGTAAATCTTGATCCTTGTTCTTCTTTTTGATTAGTTGATTTACTATTCAAATTTCGAAACCTTCCTCCCGTGGAGTAGCTCATAGTTGTGGACATTCGTTCATTGCCACTTCGCGGTGAAAGAAATCGCGAGCCAGCTGTCGAGCCAAATCTCGTCGAGATTGTAGCCGAGCTCGAGTCGGATGTATCTAGAAAGTATTTTTCTTGATAATTAGTTATTTAGTTGCACCAGAGTCCGAAATTTTAAGAATTATGTAGAATAATAATGATTAAGAATGTTTAAGAATTGTAAAATTAACAAAAGCTTAATTATTATTGCAATCAAGTTTGGTATTAAATATGTTTTTAAAGCTTACGTTTAATTTTAAAATTGATTGCAACAGAAACAGTTTCGAAAATGTTTTAATTTATATGAATTTTATATTTTGATTAATTTTTAATTTATATCTCTCGGAAGGCAATGGCAAACTACCGAGATATATTTGCCCCACGAGGATCCCTTCTAATAAGCCGTTCGAAACCGGCGTTAAAAAATTGTAGATCCCATATATCTGCGAATATATGCAGAAGTCACATTTCTGATAAGAGACTATAGGCAAAGAAGATGTATTTAAAAATTATAATATAACAGAATAAATGATAATATTAATGATGATAAGAATAAAATATTTAAAAAATAATTTTTTATATTTTTTAAAGTTCATATAATATATACATGATAAAATAATTGTACTCACTAGGCGAAGCAGCTGAACGACTGTAAGACGGCGCTCGTGAATAAACTCTGAAGGAGTTCGTTTTTCCGACACTGACTTCCGGGCTGGGCTCGCGCGATGTTTTTCCGGAATTGGGACGTAATCCTCTATAGGAGACCGGCGGGTGGTCCTTCTTTTCGATTCTAGCATCGTTGCCGTAACTTCGGCCGAAACTCGATCCGGGATATGTGCTGGATCCGTACCTCGATATTCCTTCGGGCTCTCTGCTCTTTTCCCGCGAAGCCGGTCGGTTATATCTGTCCAACACGGAAGACGGCCTCTCCGATGTTTTGCCAGCTGAGAACGAGTACTTCTCAAGGAGAGACGACCTACTATCAGATAGCGGACTTTTCGCCCTCACGTCCTCGGACGACGATCTTCCGGAATGCAATCGACTTTTATCGGTGTCTTTAGTACCTACGATAATTTAAGAAAAACTTTGGCTGCACACGTCATTTTTCCTAGAGAAATAATAATGTGGATGTATGCATCTTTTATGTTACTATTATAATTATACAATTGTAATCATTTAGTAACAGACATTTATATAGTGCACATAACAACATTGTGTAATCAAAATTGTGTGCAATGCTAATATTACAAACAAACTTAATTATGCATAAATCGCAATTAATATTAGTAAAATAAATTATAGTAATTATTATAAGTAAAATTAATTACAAAAATTAAACTAAGTATTTTACATAATATATAAATTATATCTAAATAAAAGTGCATTTATATAATACGAAGTTACCTTTAAGAAACAAAATTAAATATGAATTTTTAGATATAAATGTTATATATCTTTCCTTCAGATTATATAAATAACATATGAGTAATTCATATTACAAATACAAGATATCGCAAACAAATAAATGAACTCACATGAATATTTAAATGCTGGTTTCTCCTCGAACTTATCCTTTTTAAGAAAAGTGCCTCCAAAACCAGCAAGCGCCCGTTCCTTGGCAACGGTTCGAGCAGAACTCGATCCGACTCCGGAATAACTGCTTCTACAGCTTGGCAGGTTACTTCCACCGGAAACATTTCTACCGAATGTGCTGGCAATACCGACTCCGGTTCTACTTCGATATGCTCCTGTATCACCCTGTAATCACAAATGAAAGAGGTATACAACAAGACGTATACAACACGACTTTCGATTGCTTATTTTAGTTTTATAAATGAGATTATATATGAATTTGATTATATTGAAGAGTTATAAATAAATTTATCTGTATTGTTAAAATATTACCCTTTAAGAGTAACTTTATTAAGGAATTTCTAAAAATTTTATTTAAATAATATTTATAGCATCTCTTTTATAACGTCTTTTTTATAGCATAATATAGAAGATTTAAGATTTTTAAAATTGTTTAAACTATACATTATTGATGATTGCGAAGGCAAGATTTCAGTCACTTCTTGCATTTGCAGTAACGAGAAGGGGTCAGAAGTTAAGCCAATAAGACATTCGCAAGAAATAGGGCCGTGGGTGTTTCAGGATATTAAAGATAATAAGGATAATACGGATAATGCGTAGTTTGCATTACCGAGAAGACATATCTGATAAATGTCTTCATCAAGAATCTTTTTGCTCGAAAAATAATAATAAATTCAATGTAATGAATTATTACTCGTAAAACGACATATAAAGGTAAATACAACTAAATGTTATTTTCTGTTTCTCGATAATATTGTTATCATAAAATGTCATAAGCGTCTGAATTTAATGCATTCGTTTAAAAACAAAAACCAACGATATTAAATAAATAACAATTTATGCAAAACATTAATTTTTATGCCCACGTTCTGAAATGATCAATATTATCTTTTATTCTATTTCCGAGAACTTTTTGTCGTTGACTTTTTAAATGTCAAACTGGAAATAGAAATAGATACAAGAGACAAAATTAGGAGAACACTAAATTATTTCGGTAAAATCTAAAATAGATTATTAAATATGTCATGAAAACGTTTGAAAACAAAAAATAATAATTTGTGTAATTAATATGTAAGTTTGGCAAAAGGCCTTTTAATCTCAAAATAGACAGATCGACCTGGCAGAGAGTAATAACCTTTGCATTTCTTGCTTGTACAACGGGTGGCGCAAGTAAAAGCTTGTATTTCTTCAAAAAGCGAATTGCAAATATAAGATGTGGTTTTTAGATTATCTTTTCTATTACGTTCGTGATATTGTCATCGCGAGCAATGTGAAAAACAATTGTTTCCGGTTTCAATTTCACTTTCAATTAAGTTGAAAATAGCAAAACCTGAGATAATGCACTTATATAGAAACTTCCGATCTGTTTTCCGAACTGGGTCTTCTAAAAAGACCGTTCATTATTATGCTAATGGCATTCGGTGAGATAATAGAATTACGACAGTCGTTCCTTAAGACCGCCAAAGCAATTCCTTCGAGCGGAAGCACTGTACGACGTCGGAAACGATAAGTCCTTTCATCACGTTATATCCCCATTATCACGTTTACGCTGATTTAAGACGAGGGATAATGGCGCGTTTCTTTTCAAACAAAAAAATTTAATTGTCTATTATACGAAACATATATTTTGTGAAGAAGTTACAATTAAAGTAATAATTACAAATGGCAAAAATTATGACAAGAGTTTATATACATAAAGTATTAACTATAATAAAAACATAGAATATAGGAGGCACATGCGTTCCGTGATTAATAATCAATAAAAATTTATTTCATAAGAATTGAAATATTGGAAATTACAAAATCATGTATTTCTTTGAACTACGAAATTTGCAAGTATTATTTGTTAATATTGTAAACACATTGTATACATATCTTCCTATTGCAATTTTAGTTATCTAGGTGGCTTCTGGCGTTTATCCATTTGTAATGCTTTTTACGTTCATTTAAAATCATAAAGCTTTGCCAGAAAATTATAAGAGATAACTGTTATTATCTATCAATAGATTTTACAACTTCAAAAATTATATGCATAATAGAAGAATATCTAATATAAAAATCTGATTTCCTTAAAAATATTTTAATTTAATTTCAGTTCAAATATTCTTTATTTAAATATATATGTGTTGATAGGAAAGTGACATATCTCAGAATTAGCAACTTTTCAGTACAGTATATTTTTAAATTCTAAATTGAAACAATGTTTAAATTAAAATAGTGAATATGCATAACTTTGCGCTTTTTTTCTATGTTATATCTTAAATTATAATATTTTCTTGGAAACTGTCATAAGTTTTTAAAATTTGAACATTGCAACCCTAGTATAAATTTCAAAGCATTTATGTTTTTAAAGATGCGATATTAATCAACATTAATGTACCGTTTAGTATAATGTCATTAAATAAAATTGTTTAACGACACATAAGTCTTTGATGTATAAATATTCTTACGGCGTTATCTCGTCGTATTGTCTCGTTGAATTGAGAACAACTCGATCGGATGACTCTTCCGATATTGCTTTATCGCCCATAAAAATGGCTGTTTACGATGCTACTTTCACAGTCAGGAACTGCCATATATAAGTTGCCCAGATAAGTTGTTCCGTTTCCATCGCGGAATCAATCGACTTTGTTACGCGTATTCTCATTAATCCTTTTTTTCTACATTTTACAATCTGTACAAAGCAGTAATAAAACGCTATCGTACTTTCCTTCTATCTCTTTATTGAATTGAAATTGAGAGTGGTCGCGAGAAGATGTTGCAAACATGCACGGATTTCTATCTGTTGCTCGATTTCTTGTTTATTCATAAAAGTTTAGACCTATAAAAATCCGCAGAACATACGATATTTATGTTTTTTTTTAACAATTGTTGAAATAAGACGAGACTATAAAAATATATTTTATAATATATCATTATTTCTAGAAGTATAAAAACCTAAAGTATAAAATATAAAAATACTTTATAGTCTTGACTATCATTGAAAAAATTATTTTTACAAGAAGTGCATAATAATTTTATTATTCTTTAGAAAGGGCATAGATTTTAAATAAAATATTTAACTTGTCCGATCAAAAATAGTCTTTGTAATATACGTACTTTTACATATTATGCTTTAGTCACTTAAAAAATCGACTGTTATAGAAGAATTTTAACAGGAATATGAAACGTGCATTAACGCCGAAATGCGCGTTTATACAGAGACTTTTACGCTGTTTGCGCGATGAAAACTGTATATCGCATTACAAAATCTGCGTTCGGCCATTGTACAGAAACACACGTCACGAAATATCCGTCTACGCTCGGCTCGAAAATTTCCGAGTTTACGTGAATACGAGCGCGAGAGAAACGGCCGTTCAGCCATCTGGAAGCCCGACGCAATATCGCGCCATCGCATGCGGAGTGCGGACGAGTACGTACGTAAACGCGCTATTGCGTATTACACGGAATATACGAGTGTAACAATGTCGCGATATGTTGATATTTGCGTTTATTTCTATCCGTATGTACATGCAGTATTGATCGTTAAATGTTATCATTCTCGCGCGTTGTGCCTTCTCGTCTCGGCTCGGCTCTCGAGAGTCAAGTCAGAATATAATCTCACGAAGAGTTAAAAAGAAGATATTTTTTTATACTTCCATTTAAAATTTAAATTTAAATAATAATAATTGGTATGAAATAAAAATAAGTATAAACAAAATATATAAAAATAGCCGAATTGTACTAGAAAAACATTGTATACAACAGATGTATAACAAGGAATTTATTTAAACAGTTAAATTTGCACGTTTAACAAACATTTAAAAAATGGAGCATCTACAAATAATTAATTATATTTTATTTCTTCTCAATCGGACTTAATTGATTTTTGTCATGTTTCATAAAAATTTTGAAAGAAATGTTTGCATATGTTTATTTGGAATGACTTCATAATAAATAAATTTATACGTCGACTTTAATACAAAATATAGATTGCCTTACAAACAGCTGTTAGCCTAACAACAGCTTAAAGAAAAACTATACATAAAGGGCTAGATTTTTTAAATATTATACATTTGAATCAGATGCACATACAATAAATATAAGTGCAATGTAATTCAATTCTTGTAAGATTTATAAAGCTGGATTCTAACGCTGCTGTGAATATGAATGGCTCAAATGTGTGAGCATGTGTGAGCTATGAATGTCGCAGGTCTTTTCATCCCGTGACTTAGCACGTTATTGCTTCAAGTGCTTCACTTGTTTAAAAGAAGTATTCAGGCTCACGAAAGACTAAACGTTTTATTCGCGATGATGCGGTACATTCCCGATGACACTGATGAGGATGTGGGCGACCGATGCATCGTGATACCAGCTTGAGGGGAGGCCAGATAATTGAAGAGTGTCAGCCTGATTTAACCTCCGGCGACTCGGTGCATTATTATAATTTATGACGCACGACCAGCTATCACGAGCTCGATAGAACGAAAATGTTACTTAATTGTATTCTTAAATAGTCGAAAAGCCATTGATCTTTCTGGACCACCCGCTATAAATACTTTGAAAATTATACGATGCCTTGACGAAAATAATATTATATTTAATAGGAGATTAGAAATTAAATTTTTGATATTGCTAAGTTTCTTATGTTTTTTCATGAAATTGAAATCTTTACCAAATATATTATATTTTCGAATAATTGTGATGGCGATTTATATTTATTTATACACTTCCGCTTTAAATTAATTTTAATTCTAAGCATATTTACATGTTAGCAACTTGTTAAGTAGCTGCATTAAATAGTTTGCAGCTTTGCATTTATCTCATAAATTATTTAATAGAGAAAAGCTAACTCTCTATTATACAGAACGCGTAGTTTTCATTAGTTATCGTACGAGAAAGCAAATTAGGTTGCCGTTCACGATGGCGGTCTGTTATTTTATGATTCGCACATTGGACACACGCCAAGATTTTTGGCACGTCACGATGTGAATCGAGGAAGCGATTTCAGGGAGGCTCGCCACACGTGCAAACGCGTGATGCTTTTAGAAATGACATTTTAGATGTAAATTTTACACGATACCAACTTTTTCGACAAAAAGATCATTGACTTCTTTTTGTTATATACATAAATTACTTGTTACGTTTTATAATTATAACGTTTTAAAATTATATTATAATATTGT